TCCCCTAATTTTTCTGTCGTGTGCGATTCATTTACTTGATTTGATCGCAACTTCCGCGGTACGGTGTGATTTCGACACTTGCGCACAACGATACACTCGGTGTTTTTTCTGACACGCACGAATCGAGTAAGCTCGCCGTGCTTTCAGTTTCAGATCGTTGCGTAGCTGACACACTGGTTCACAGTGCGCGTAACTTTGATGTCAAGGCGTCGGATGCATCGTTTCTGTATGTTCTTAATACAACATACTGGCGACGAGGATGGGATGGTCAGGTCACTGACGATCAATTTGTTTGCCCACTTTCTCCAGTGTTAACCCTGGCAGAATTACAAGCAGTGAGTGCATCTGACAAGATAATCACAAACGTCATGAACTTCGTTTCCTCATCTTGGCCTGAAAAAAAAGTCTCTAAAAACGGTGCTAAGTACATATTTCCGTGTGCGTGCCGAACTATCCATTGTGCACAACTTGCTTTACCGTGGTGAAAGGATCGCAGTTCCAAGAAGTAGCCTTACTCGTCGTTTGATGGAAGTCGCACATGAATCGCATCCGGGGATCAGTCGTACGAAAAATAGACTGCGAGAGATGTACTGGTGGCCTCGAATTGATGGCCATGTAGAAGAACTGGTTAAAACATGTCTCGTTTGCCAGTCATGTGACAAATCTGCATGGCCTACTGCAGCCCCTATACAGCCAGTAACCTTTCCTGACAAGCCTTGGGAAAAAATTGCCATTGATATTATTGGACCCTTTGAGCAAGCTCCCATCAATTGCTGTTATGCGGTGACGCTTATTGATTATCACAGCAAATGGCCAGAAGCTTTTTTTTTTTGTGACAAGTTTCTACGGCTACGGTCAAGAACATCTTGTTACAAGTGTTTGCTCGTTATGGCTACCCGAATGAAATAGTTTCGGTTCACGGACCACAATTCAGCTCAGCTGAATTTGAAGAGTTCATTCGGGAACACGGCATACACCATTGCTTTTCTTCTGTCTACCACAGGGAAGCAAACGGTCTTGTAGAAAGGTTCAACAGAGTCATCGAGTCTGTTGTCCAGGTGGCAGTATACGAGCGGCATGATATCCGTGTCGCCGTGACCGAATATTTGTGCGTCTACCGCTGCACACCTCATGCCACAACGGTAGTGGCACCCGTTGTTCTCCTGCACGCACGACTGCCACGAACTCGCTTAACAATTCTTGAGTTATGGGATTCTTCATTTCACGAAAATCCAGTAGAGTCAATGAAACGGCTGCGTCAGCATGTCCAACAAAAACAAGCTTCTTCCAAACTTTATACTGACTGCCGTTGTAGAGCTCGGACCAGAAACTTTGCCGTCAGCAACTACGTCCGTGTGAGAAAGCCGAAAAAATATCCTCGCACTTTTCGGAACTGAAGAAAATAATTAAGCAACGAGGGCCAGCCTCATTTCTTTTGGAAGACGGTCGCGCATGGAACTCTTCCAAATTTCAAGCAGTACACCCAGAAGCCGCGGGGAAGCTGATGATAAGTTAGTACACACATAGCGACAGCAAGGGCCCCCTCCCCCCACCTCCCCTCGGAACATTTATGTCTAGTTTGCCTATATGTAAGCATACGTCAAGGGGTGGTGGGGAGTGGGGGCGATGCTATAAAAATATTTCTGGCCATGCCCTCGCACGCTTTCTTTAAAGTGAGATTTAGCGGCCGCGATATCTTGGACCTAGTAACACCAGCCATATTTTGTCAAATTCCGGCAACGGTTTCAGGGTGGATGGATGGATTGATATGGCTGCACCCTTTTAGATCGGGCAGCGGCTATCGCCACCTAGCTGAAATACTTAGCAGACCAAACATTACATTTATCTTTTTGCAGTGAAGGATTTAACTTTCACTCGTGCCCTGATTTTAGCCACCAATCAGACGACCTTCTTCTAGTTATTTCTACCCGCTTAAAGTCTATTTTGCTTTCCCTGTCCCTAAACCCCAGTGCTTTCATTTCATTTTATTTCCTTAAAGACCCGCGAGGGGGTATTACATAAGGGGTGGGTAATTATAAACACAACACATAGAAGCCAAAGATTTAACATAGAAAGCGCTTATTGATATTTTCTATGAACGATGATGGGCAGAGAATAGTTGCAATTTCACTGGGAAGGCCGTTCCAGTCTGGTGCGGTACGTGGAAAAAAGAGGCAGAAAAAGTAGAAGTCCGGGAGCGTGGCTGAGCAACTTGAAGCAAATGGCTCGTGTGGTGAGATATGTGTGTTGTGGGAACGATATAAGGTGGGGCATGCAAGGGACTATGAAAAAGTTTGTGGAACAATGACAGGCTGGCAATACGACGGCAAAGTTCTAGATCTGGTAAACCAGATTCTGCTTTCAATCCAGATACGCTGACAGTTGAAGAGTATGAACAGTGAATAAATCTAGCGGCTTGGTTTTGAAGCGATTCAATGGCATGTGTAAGATAAGATTGTCGAGGATCCCAAATTGGCGATGCGTATTCTAGTTTAGGTCGAACGATGGATTTGTATGCTTGTAATTTTACGTGTTGTGGAGTGAGGCGTAAATGGTGCTTAAGGAAACCCAGTGTTTTATTTGCAGATGAAATGATATTAGTGACGTGTATGTTCCATGAAAGATCGCTACGAAGAGTGACGCCCAAATACTTGTATGACGGAACATTTTCTAGCCGGATGGCATTAACTGCGTACGGATACACAAGCGGCATGTGGCGGCGATGGAATGAAACGACTTTACATTTACTCGGGTTAAGTTCCATGAGCCAGCGCTCACACCATTTCTGGAGGCAGTTTAGGTTGGCTTGTAAGGATGACTGTTTTGAAGTGTCAGTAACAGTGTCATATATAACGCAGTCATCAGCAAACAGGGGGGTTTTACAGGTTAGGTTTGAAGGTAAGTCATTTATGTATATAAGGAATAAAAGGGGACCAAGAACCGAACCCTGGGGTACTCCGGACGTTACTGGAAGAGGATTAGAGGTACGGTTGTTGATATTAACACACTGGGAGCGGTTTGTAAGGAATTTTCTGATCAAATTTAGTATGGTCGGGTGAAGATTTAACTGGGAAAGTTTTAGTAAGATTCGAGAATGGGGTACTTTGTCGAACGCTTTGGAAAAACATAAGACTACGGCATCGGTTTGTAAGTCACAGTCCAGGTTAGTATGCAAATCATGAACAAATAAGGCTAGTTGCGTTTCACAAGAGAAACCTCTGCAGAACCCATGTTGTGCTGGATGGAAAAAGCTGTTTGAATCAAGAAAGTCTATGATATGTGTGTAGATGACGTGTGTAGATATGCGTGTAGATGGCGCAGAGAAAAACTCTGCGCCATCATCCTGAACAATAGGGTGAAGCCCTTTACAGAACATTATCAAGTGTTCGGCAGTTTCCTCCTCCTCTCCACACGCACTGCATACCGTGTCTACCCCTTCGTACTTGGCCGATAAGTCTTGGTTTGCAATACTCCCATCCTGGCCTCAAACAGTAGAAAACTACCCCGAGTATTATCATAGATTGATAGATCCTTCCTTGGCAATTTCCTGCTTAAAAGTTCGATAGATCTCTAGTGTGTACTTCTTAATCATGCCGATTCTCCACATGTCGGTCTTTGTTTCCTTCACCTTCTTCTTAACTGATAGTTCTTTTTGGTTTGGCCCCCTGCTGTTTTCTAAGCATTTACTCATCAATTTTCTGGTTCGCTTCCTCTATTTTGTATCAGCATTCATCTACAAGTAGCTGAAAACCTTTCTATCCCAACGCTCCTCTCCCATTTCTCTCAATCGCTTCTCAAATTTTATCTTGCTGCTAGCTTCCCTGCCCTCAAATGATGTCCATCCCATATCACCTTGTACTCCCTGATTTGGTGTATTCCCGTGAGCTCCTAAAGCAAGCCTATCTATTCCACATTGCTTAATTTCTAATCTTGCTTGAACTTTTGATCCCATGCACAAGACCGCATTGCCGAACGTCAGACCCGGAACCATGACCCCTTTCCATATTCCTCTTACAACATCATACCTATTGTAATTCCACAGTGCGCTATTTTTCATCACTGCTGCATTCCTGTTACCTTTAGTCGTCACGTATATTTCGTGTTCCCTTGGGTACTCGGTCCCATTGCTTATCCATACGCCCAGATATTCGTATTTATGTGTTATCTCTAGCGTGACCTCCTGTATTCTAAGCCCACTACCTTCATTATCATTAAAAATCATGACTGCTGATTTTTCCTTACTTAATCTGAAATCTAAGCTATCTCCCTCATTACCGCAGATGTCCACCAATCTCTGCAAATCTTCCTTGTTGTCGGCCATTAGCACTATACCATCTGCGTACATCAATACTGGTAGTGCCTGTTCAATGAGTTTTCATTGTTTGACAAAAGAAAGTTTGAAGCCCAGTCCACTTCCCTCTTCCAAACCGAAATGGCAGGGATTCCCACGCTTGCCTGGCAGACGCCTCCCAAATATTTCTGTCTCGGCGGTCTCGTGCAAGCTCTTTGGAAGGCATGTACTGTAAAACGCCGAAAAAGCGTCCCCCACCCAGACAAGCACCCCCCTCCCTTCATCTCTTGGGAGACCTGAAGTAAGCGCCAATGGCCAGAGCAAGTAGCCTCCCCTTACCCCTGCTCCTCTCGTGGCACATTTATTATTATTTTTTTCAAGATGAGCATCATTTGTGTAAAAAGAACCACAAGAATGGGTATACTGAATGTGTATATAATCTTATTTATGAAACGCTTTATAAATAAAGCATTTGATGAGAAACTCTGAGGAGCATTATTTATTTTTCGCGGCTCTCCCGCCACCTTATTGAATTTCGGTGCAGGACCGAGCAAGTGCCGCTACTTCCGAATTTGGTCGGATTATCTATCGCCGTAGGAAGGGCCCTTGCTTGGAATTTTACGGTATATAACAAGCATTTGTTTCTATCCGTATGGCGCTGAAAAATTTTGTTATTAGCGTGTTCCACTATTGTCACGCAGTAAGTTGCATGTGGCTTTGCTCGGACTCGTGCCTCGACTCTAATCGGCGTCCTGAGTGCAACCATTTCTCCTACTTTTCGTTTGACAGTGATAAGGTTGCTGAGCTGCTGTCCACGAAACAGTGCGTCTACTGTGGCTTCGATCCAACGGCTGATTCCCTTCACGTTGGCAACCTGTTGGCCATCGTGCTGATGCTGCACATGCAGAGAATGGGCCATGATGTCATCGCCGTGGTAAGTGTTTCTAAAATTTCTCGAGCCGTGTAGAGCTAATTATGTCAGCAAAACAGAGGGGGTTGATCGAGGGCGCTTTTTTTTTATTACACAACATAACGAAACCTAAGGACATTGGTGCTAAAGAAATACCAAGGGCATTACATTGTTTAAAGGGGCCCTGCAACACTTTTTGAGCATGATCAGAAAACGCTGCCGATCGGTAGTAGAGGCTCCCGACAACACGCGAGCCAAATATTATAGCGCAGCACGTGGGCTGGAATTCACAATAAATGATCAAAGTCAGCTGAAAATAGCTTTCTCTTCTCTCGACAAATCACGGAAAATAAGCCCAGTAAGCACATCTATCAAGCGTTGGCTGATTCGAACATGGCGCGCTCGGTTGTTACAGAGGTCGCCGCAAAAGGTCGTCACTTGTCCACGCGGGCGCACGCGATCGCACTGAAAAGGCCATGTATTCGAAGAAAAAAAAAGAAAAAAATGCTCAAGGTCACGAGGCGCGAGTGACGTTTTTTGTTTGCCCCTCGCATCCCTCCCTGCTTAGCTTCCAGCGATTTCGTCGATCGGGTCGAGAGAAGAGAGAATGCAATTGCAGCGTGTGACAAATCTTTGTAACTCCCCTCCGACTGGACGCATTCTTAAGATTTTTGTGGCATTCAGTTTGTGAGGTAATACGCTTTTCCAGTGAACTAATTCCATGGTTACTCAAAAAAGTGTTTGAGGGCCCCTTTAAACAAGTGGCACTATGTAACCATGCTGGCAACTTGTGTTCATGTGATAAAAAGTCTTTTCAACTTCTCTGTTGCACAGTTTGCTTAAACAAAGTGTCCTTGCCAACTTGCCCCAACTGTCAGCCCTATTCATGGAGGGCATTTGTGGGTTTTAGCTATAGTATGAAAAATCAACTAGCCACAGGTAGAGTCTTCACTCGTGCCCTTACCTGCTGCAAGTTTGTTTTTCATTCACTTTCATTCTTTACCACTTACATTTGAATTAGTTCACTGCAGTTAAAACCTGTAAATTATCATTTGGTTGCATTGGGTAATGAAATCAAATTGAGGCCTGTGAGAGCATGACGGACATTATTTGTCGCATTTTCTGGCTGTGGCGTGATGATTTAGACATGAATTGCGCAGAATTAAATCGGACGAAAAGTTACCTTCTCTATTCGTAAGACTGGAACCCGAAACCTTCGTATTCAAAGATTTTGGTTCAGATTATTTGCCTAACAGGATATTGATCAATGGGGAGGTTTTTCGAGCACTGATTTGGATTGGTAATTATGCCCAAATAATTTGCATAATTGCTTCAGTGAATAGCGCTTGCTCATTTTCATCCCGTCAAGCACGTGTGTGTTCAGATATTCCACTTCACTGTACAGACACGTGTGTGTCATTTGCGTCAGTTCGGAAACTTGAACGTACCGGTAAACTTTTTTGCAGATTCTGACATCACCACTCGGCGAAACGTAATGGTTTAAGCAGTGACAACGAACCTTCAACTCTTGATACGCGTAATGTTCACATTAGCCGGGAAAGCTTAACGTGCTTACGGTGCGAACAAAAACTCACCAGCGCTCCTCAGGGCAAGTGCACCCTGGTTCTTTCAGTAGGTGGAGGCTACATTTTTTATTTCTTAGGTTGCTTCCCAGTATAGATGTGTTCAAGGTCTGAAGTACCTTGTTATGGGGGCTGTTTTTCTCACAGATAGGTGACTCCACCGCTCAAGTCGGCGATCCCAGCGGCCGTCTCACGGAGCGGGACAAAATGGACGAGGACGTCATTGAGAAAAATGTTGCCGGTCTGCGCAACAACCTGGAGACGGTGTTTGCGAACCACGTGGCCCACTTCTGGAAGCCGAGCAAACCCAACAAGACGCTGAGCCCTCTGAGGTGACGTGACGATAGGGGTTGCCAATTTTTATGCTGAGAAACAGAACGAAAGAGTAATTATTAGAAAGAAGGGTATAGGTGATGTAAAAGCATGGTTTTAGTGATTACGACTGTAAGCAAGAGCACAAGTGACGAGAGCACGGTAGTGTGAAACCGGCCCCCGCCGGTTACAGTGCTCCATTGTCCCGAAGGTCACAAGATCGAATTCCGGCCAGTGCAGACGCACTTTGACGGGGTATGAAATGCCAGATGCTCGTGTGCTTAAATTTAGCTGCATGCCCATTGATAAAAGGTCGTCAAAATCTCTGGAAGCCTCCACTACACTGTCTCTCATAACAGTATCGTAGTTTTTGGATCGAAAACACCAACAATCTTTGTGTTATGTAAGGAACAGACTAAAGTATATTAAAGGCTTAGCTACAAATTGGCACATATTTGACCTCTTTGAGAAGATTAGCAGGTGATACCAACAGCACACTGAGCATCGTTTTGGTGGCCCATACTATATGCGAGACGTATGAAAAAATAAGTATCTGTTTGGTTTGTCTTATGGTCATGGCATTTGACATGCAAAGCACCATCTGTTACGGCTACAGATATGATTTGTTGGAGATTCTGTGTGAATTGGAAGCTGCACTCAAGGCTATTAATAATATTACTATAACTCTTGGTGTTTTATGTCCAATATGCTTAGGAGAGAGACTGGAGTGCAGGGCTGTGGACCACCTGGGGTTCTTCAAAGTGCAACTACACCACGTGCAAGCACACCAACCTCTAGGGCTTCGTCTCCGTCATGATGAAGCCACCGCATTTGGAATTCGACATCATGACCTGCGGGTCAGCAGTGTAGCATCGTAATGACTAGACCACCACGATGGGTGCAGTCGTCCTCGCGCGTCGCCACGGCGCTGGCTGCTGCACGAGGACGCTGTTCTGAGAGAGTCTCTACGTGCTTCCTGCTCCTTCAAAACAAGGGACAGGCTAGCCTGAAACGTTCACATGCAGTTGCTGGTACAGACAAATGCTAGAGCTACCTTTTGCAGCTGCTAGCTTTTCCATAAATGAAAGCAACTTCTCATGTTTTTTGTTGCTAGAAACCAAGCGAGGTACTGAAGCAATTAGAAGACTCCAACGGGAAAATTGTGTTATTAAACCCGACGGTAACTCCTCCTCGAATCCTGGCACATTCAGCAGACAGTGAGGAACATCAACCGCTCCGGGGGGACATTGCCCTCCCTCTACCGCCGGGGTTCGCGATGGGTCGCGGCGTACCTGTCATTCAAGGCGAGCGAGTGTATGTAAGCGCCGCACATCTCTGGCTTTCTCACCTCTGAGGTGGAAGTCTGTCTGGCTTCCAAACGTCAGGTTTCGTGATACAATTTCTCGGTTGGAGTTTTCTGAATGCCTCACTTTCTATCCCAACCAGGCGAACTTCTGCCTAATGTTCACCTTTGACACAAGTTACTGTGCCAGATATTTCTTTGAACATCTCGCATTGCACCATGCAATATTTCGGCAAATTTTCGAACGAACCGATCGGCATTAAGGACAAAAACCATATAGTGAAGATTTTAAAATAAAATTCATGTTGCTATACTTAAATGAGGTTTTGTTGAACGCTTTGACGATGTGAGCATGATTCTTGCAGTGGGAATGACCAAACCGTGCTCCGCTGTATTTTACAGGGCAGACCTTTCTGCAACTGCTAATTACCTGCTATGATTTGCAACCCATACAAAAAGACTTTGTTGTGTGCCTTTTTTGTGTTGTTGCAAGTTGTGTAATCGGTTCCCTAACGAAACACCTCTGTTACTTTTGGACAACATATAAATCCACTGTCAACAACCTTTCTTAATGTTTTTGGTGTCCGTATAAGGTGCTAGAGTCGGTCACTGAGTCCTTCATTCACTTGAAATTGCCTTCATAAGAACATATACAATGCCTTTTGTTTGCAACGACATACAAGAAGTGTTAACAGATGCGGATGGTATTGTCTTGCGCAGGATAGTCCGGAATTCGGAGTGGTACCTCGGCCATGATGTCATAGGCTTCCTTGGTACCGTCGGCCGAAACTTCAGGCTGGGAAAGATGATGTCAAGAACAAGGTGATTCGCTTTGTTTTTGTTAGCCTAATCGACATTGAAACATTTAGTGACTTGTTCTTTGTCACGGTAGACAGGCAGCAATAGGTTGAGCTGGAGATGTCAAAAACTGATTGAATTGCACTTGAAATGTATTACGAGGGGTGTTCAAAAGAAGAGGTACGAAAGGTCGTAAGAGCATGAAGGTCAACGTAGATGCCTATGCCGCTATGGGAGAACGCAACGAGACAACTGGGGAGGCAATCGAAGTTATTGGCGTGGATCGGAGCATGTGGGGGCACCTCCTGGATGTGCTGAAGAGAGCAGAGACTGAAAAAGAAGCACTTTAACTCAGACAATGATTCAGTGATGCTAGTATTTTGAGCTTATCACAGCCTCAAAATTTCTAGGATCAAAGAACCCTTCAGCTCATTCGCCAATGGGATCATTGTGATCTGGTACACAGTGTTCACCTTGACATGAGAGCATGAAGGTGTTACTGGGCAAACTATCTCTAATATAATGGGTAAGTGATCGCTGTTTGTATATAAAGTCCACCTATACCCACAGTGTCATTTCGTACCTTTTCATTTGAACACCCCTTGTACAATTTGGGTTGCGAGTAGCGGCTGTTTACAACTTGCATTTAAGATGAATGTGTGTGAAACTGTCTAGTGATGGGACACTTGACCTGCGTTATAAAAGAAATAAGGGCAATTTGACGGGTATTGCCTGTCATGACATCATGCAGTCAAACGAACGTTAAACCAAGGAAATGAGACACCTGCTGTTGGTAGCAGTTCCAGCATCTACTGCCATACACAACCAATTGAATCCAGTGCTCACACCAGGAAAGGTATAGGGGCTATTAATTGTTAACTTTTCAAATGTGGTGCAATAATAAGGACGTAAATTTAAATGTTGGATTCAGTTGGTTGTGCGTTGTAAATAAAGGAGCTCCTAGAATAAATTCCCTGTCTTTCGAGAAATGCCATTGGCGCATGCCGTACTTTAGCAATCAAGCTGTCCACTGCGGGATTCGAGCTTTGTGCCATGTTCAGGTAGACGAGAACTGTTACATTAGGGTGCCCATTCTAACTTGCAGTTTGTTAAATGCTGGTTATCCCTGTCTGTCTGCCAGATGTAGCAATAGGAGTGTTTGCCAACGTCTGTCACCATCGTTGTAGAGGGTAGAGAGAGATATTTTGCTGGTTTCTGCAGAACAAAAAAAAGGTTGGCCTAAATTGCGTTCAGCAACGTTGAATCCTTTTGTGGAACGATTGACCACGAAATTGCAGGCAAGTGCCCCGTCCAAGCCAGTATTCCCTTCCAGTTTTACTGCTAATTTAGAATTTGTGCACCATTCTGCTCTGCACCCTTATCATGCACCATCTCCAGGCGACACTGGTCTAATTGAATCTAATTCAGTTCTCCTGAGCAGCTCAATCTCTAGGTGCCTGAAATTTATCGTTTAACCTTTATTTTCTTTTTATCGGATAATGATTGAGCACCCCGAACTTGGCACACGGCACCCATGACTACTTTCAGTTTGCCGCGAGGAAGGGCATGCCCTTTGAAATCAACATTTGCAATTCCAAGACGGTGCCTGCGACGTATTCTAAATTATGGCATGCATGCGCATCAAGCATAAGGCCTCCGTGATTCGTGCACATTACACGAAGCTGTTACATTGGGAAACGATTTAAACTCCAACCAAAAAGTATGTGAAGATACGTAAACCTGACGTTTCGGAACCGACTTGGTTCCTTTCTCAGGGGGGACTGCGGCTATCTTGCAGCAGCGTCTTCAAAGCACTCGCGGGGCGGTTAATGACCACCCTCCTCTCTCTCCAGTTTCTCCACGGAGCGTAGTCTGTGTGTATACACCGGGGGAAGGGTTTCGAGAGGATCGTTGATGTTTGGGCCATTCGCTGTATATGCTGCAACTCGAGTAGTAATCTTCTCCTTCAGTTAGTCTCGCTTTCAAGGATGGTCGTTGCGTCGAAATTTATCCGGTGGTCAAACGTCTCAGGATTCTCGGTAACGGTGCTGTTCTCTTTGTAGAGCTTTCGGACGTCGTTGGTATGTTGTTTGAGTCGTTCGACTCAACGACTCAAACACCAATATTTCGTTATATCCAGGTGCGTTATATAGAGGCTTGAGTGTATACGTGTTCGTTACATTGAGGTTTGAGCGCATGTAAACAGGAGTCACTCTTTTAAATCTCAATATTGTTTATCCTTGCTTCTTTCTCTTTTTTCGTTAGTGTACAGCAACGACTAAACTCTAGCGAGGGCATCAGCCTGGCCGAGTTCTCGTACCAGGTGTTCCAGGCGTACGACTGGCTGCACCTGTACGACAACTACAAGTGTCGATTTCAGGTAACCACGGGTATTTGGTGCTTTCCTTCGTTTTAAAGTTCGGTTGTTCTGAGTGGCCCACGGCTGTCCAAGAGTGCAACTGCCGTGGGCGTTCTACACTGTCTTGCATCCCTGTTGTTAGCCAAGTCTGGCTCCCCACTGCAAAATTTGCGGTGTATATTCTGGCCCTTGCACTTAACTGACAGCCTTTATGTTTCACAATGATGCATTGCCTATCTCATCCATCTTCTAACCACAGTTTTCATGCACCAGTAGAGTTCATCCACCGTCGAAGCAGCACTCGGGTATCGAGACTGCCCGCAGAATCGAGTGGACGCTGCTGCAGATCTGCCAAATGGCTGGTTGCAAGACAAACCTTGCTGTATTGTGGAACTCGTCTGCACATTTGTTGTTGTGGAGTTGCCTTTTTTGCGATTAGATTGCGTACTATTAAATCGAACTTGCATACCATTTTTAGCCCGTAACGAACGGTGTGGCTGCGGGGCCGATTTGCTCGCATCTGACGCATTGCAGCTTGTTAGCAAACAAAATAATGCAAGGTTTCTTGGGCCGGAATGGTAGATGAGGTCCTTGAACTCCGTCAGAGGAATTTTTTTAAAAACAAAGTATGACCTTTTTAAGAGTAATACTATTTTCAAACTTTCGTGCTTTCGACAAAAGATACATTTCATCACAAAGCTAGTAAAACAAAGCTTGATAACTTCGTAAAGGTATCTGAGTTAACAGGTAACGAGTAATTATTTTGAGTTTAACCTCTTTGTAGCAATAAGTTTCTGAAATACAAGTATTTTGTGCAGTTTACTGTGTTGTGATTTTTTTGTTGTGAAGTGTTTTGATAGGTAAGAAAAATAATTAAATACACAAGATTATACAAACAGTAAACGTTAGTAAACAAAGATTTCTTAAGCAGAACTGCCACTCGAATGGAACAACTCCCTCTAACATGATTGCTTTATACCTGTGTTTTGGAGCCTTATTGATCTCTCAATAAGCGAAATACCTGTTGAACGGAACACATTTTCATGTTCCTTTGAGGTTTCGTTCAGTCAGAGTCAACTGTTATGTGTTCTTGCATGTGAACAAATAATGCGATTAAGAAGTGCGCCATTTTTTTTACTTATGTGCGGTCAACCTTCAGAAATTTCAAAATTCATGCAATAGTGTTTTTCATCGCCTTATTATAGATATACCTTATCTCTGGCGTACAGCGTTACTTTTTTCACAAAACTAACTTTGAACCCAGCGTTCTGGTTTAAAGGCCCCAGGCCCACAGTAAATTGCATCAAACTCTGGAACGGTGACCCTGGCTTCGTGTTCGATCTTCTCCCTACACACCAAGCAGTGAGGGCCTGCTATCTGTAGGATGTAGTTTCTCACCCGTCAGGGCTCAAGGTCAGATGATGAAGTGATGACATCATACCGCTGCTATATGATGTTATCACTTCGTAACTTGACATTGTTACACAGCACTGTCAAGGTCTGTGTTACGTGAGTGTATCAAGCGACCCATGACTGGCACACCTACACATGTCCTCACCAGCCGTGCCATTCTACTCTGTGCGTCTCTGTGGGTTTCAATGTGTGTTAGGGAATTTTAGTGCGGTGTAACTTGTAAAGAAGCGCGGTGGAGCAAACTTACTTGCGTTTCATTAACACCCGTGCAGCTGCTGCCGTGATTGTTCACTCACCTTCACTGTGCTTGCAGCAGTCATGTTTTCGAAGGGGTCCTTCAATGCAGTCTTTGTGGTTTTGATGCGAACTCACTTAGACTCAGTGAGACGGGTATTTTTCATCACAGATAGGAGGTGGTGACCAGCTCGGCAACATCGATTCGGGCCACGACCTAATCAAGAAAACGAGGTCAAATGTGGCCTATGGTGAGACTGCCCTTTTCCTTTTATTGTGATTGTGATATATGGACACTCTTGACGGGCTTTTTCTGCGGCCGTAATTTTTCAGATAGAGTTCAACTAAATAACATCACCTCATGCACCGTGCGGTATACCCCCGAGTAAATGTGCAGGAGTGCTGACGACACATGCATCTGAACAAGAGGTGAAATGAACCGGCCATCTCCTTTGCGCGGGACGCAAAACCTACTCTAGATTGTTTCTCAAGCATAAAGGAAACCCATTTTGCATCGGGCAAAGGAGCATGAGGGGATGCCTGAGGAAAGGGGGGTGGGGTGCTGAGTTGCTCAATCAGCTATTGCAAAGTTTGATAATAAGAATGCAGCCGTCGTCCTGCGGGTTGTCTCTGTAGACATCAGGGAACGGCTCGTGCGCGTGCTGTCCTTTTACCACTTTCCTATCTGAAACAGCCGTATTCTTTCACATTGGCATTTTATATAGTTACACAAGATTGGATCCAAATGAGTTAAGCTGCTAGCCTCACTTCATATAGCATTACAATTAGTTGCTGTCGCATTCGTAGCTTCACTGTTGTGATGAAACTATGATTTTTTTTTTTTTCGTTCATGCCCGCACTCATCTGGCTCTTGTCATTAACCCATTGACTTCCACGCTCTCCATGGCTGTTCCACCTGGTAGTATTCCGCTAGAACATTTTTGTTCCCACCGGTGGCATGGGTTGGTGCGCTTAAACCACAATAAAATCCGCAACAAACGTTATATTATAACAAACTTTGTTTTATTCATTTAACAATGCCTGACTGCATCAGGTGCTTTAGTATGATTTTCGTCTGTGAAAAAAGTTTGAAGCACATGGGCATGTGGAAAGCAACTTCACATTTTTCAGACTCCCGTCGGCTCTCAAATTTTTCGCCTTGTGCTTTACAAACTTGATGGAATCTGCTTCACTTTGTTTGCGAGGATAATCTGAGGAAAATGAGCCCATTCGGCGGCTTGTAGGAGCATAGGGGAGGCACCGACAGGCGGGTCTCTCCCCTGTTTCTTCCGCAAAGCCATGCTTTGAAAAAGCCGGGATTTTGCACCCATCGCCGCTAAAAAAATAAAAGACACACTTACAAACAAAAAAGAACATGGACAACTATGTACATCTAGCGAATAATGTACCAAGCAAAAACGAAACGTAAAATACTGTGCTGCCATTTATGAAACAATGCCGAAAATAAACGTTTTGTAGGTGACTGGCGATTCGCCTGTCAAAGCACTTTTGGCCTCACTCACCCCGCAAGCGAATTGCCGGCCACGGAAGCCAATGGGTTAAAGGGGTACTGGCACAAAATTTCTCGGGCGAGATAGCATCTGAGATCGATTCTTGTGAACATGCCTATGTCATCGGCAAAATTTCATGAATGTGGCTTGGAAAGTATTTTGTACGAATTTTAACGTTCGCCTGCACCTCATGCATTGACACCCTTCAAAGTGACTCAAAGGTGACCCTCCTACTCGTCGAACATCGCCACACTGCAGCCTGTACTAATTATGATGACGTTATAGCACTTGCCATTCCTCTTTCGATGCGCTTGCACCAGCAGACTACTTTTCAGCATCTGCTCGCAAGTTTGTGGCTGTAGTGCACACATTGAAACTTTTGTGTTAGGCGACTCTGCTTGCCCGTTTCTTGTTTGGAAGAAATTCTTGACACGGATATTGCGAAAGTGCATCACAGTTCTGTGTGCTGGCGTGGTTGAGCATTGCACACACTAGGCGGTCATAGTTTCATGCATCAACTTGTCGTTTTCCGAGTGCTCTCTAAACGAAGCCGAGACTGGTCGCTAATGAAGTGCCTGTAATTAAGTATCTGTTTGACACAGCTATGTACGGTGTGCAGTGTTATGACTAACAGGCCCCCAGTTAGACATTGCAGCAAAAAAATGCAACATGATAATTTTTTTCGTCTGCATCCCTTTAATAATTTGCACACGTAACCCATAAAAGGGGAGGGAAAGGTTTTATTGATTGCTGCGTGGACAGAAAAACGTCCACCCGTCTTTTGTTTCGTGAAGGGCGCATAAAGATTGGAAGCAGAGGGATGACTGTGTGGCTGCGAGAAGAAATGCTCACAGGGTGTCATCACACACCGTTTACAAAAAGATCAGCACATGGCTTATAGCTTTGTACGTGTCGCACTCTTTGCATTGAAGCCACAAACCACAGCAAAATGACCGTGAAAGTCACTTTGCTCGATGCAGTGCCGAGTTTTCAAAAGGAGAGTGAGCTGTCATTGTGTTTTTATCACATTTCAGTTTGTTGTTATTGCATTCGTTGCTTTGCCCTTGTAGCGAAACTGTGCCTGCTGTGTTCTGCTCTTTCACGGAGCGTCTTCTTCTTCCTGCCGCCCCTTGCAGGCCTCCTGGTTCCGCTCATTACGGCAGAATCCGGTGACAAGTACGGAAAGTCGTCCGGCAACGCGGTGTGGCTGGACCCACGCAAGACGTCGCCGTACGATTTCTACCAGGTGCAGCGAGCTTCAGATTGTAGAGCTCCACGAGTAGTAAATTTTAGGCTCGCCATGAATATGAAGTGAATAGCGACCTCATCAAATAATTTCATGTCATGTAGACCTCATGCAAAATTACTGCCATCTGTCGGCCGTCGTGTGCATATAGTCATGTTAGAGGGTCAGCGTGGCACAATACGCACATTACACATGTGTTTACGCATAATGTATGCATAAAGCGCATCAACGTGAGGCGTGTATTGGCTGATAACTGCAATGCTGACGTATTGCTGCATACAGGGAGACACTTGAAATGTAGAGGAAAAAAAAAAAAAGGTAAGCCGTAAACTTTGCCCCTGGTTACTTTTTCAAGCTAATGATGGAGCACATGCTGGAAAGCATGTGCTCCTGCTACTGCTCCCGAAACATGCGTTTGCATTTTCTTTTATAAGCAAGTAAGACATCCAAGCGCATTTGTACTCATTTTTTTTTTTTTTTAATTTCTGCACGCCTAAGCAAGATAGTTTTTGCAATGTTTTTATTAGCAGCCATTTAACAAGTGAAGGCAACTTTTACGCTTCACACAGTAGCCACGTTCAAGCAACGAGCCTTATCGCAGCTAATTGCACGTGCTATGTTTTATCTTTCCCACAATTACGTAAGTCGAGGTATTGGAGCCCAAACCCAGCTGTAATGAACTTGCATGTCCTCTCACCTGGTGCAAATATTGCAAACCAATGCAAGCATTTTGCGTTAATCGATTAGTAGCTATCGTGTCTGCAAAGACGAACTGTGCATGAGGCATTGTTCTTTTGTTATTTTAAAGAGAACCTGCAACGCCATTCCAAATAATCGTTAAAGGACTTCATCAAAAGAGTTTATTGTTTCATGAATCGACTGCCACAAAAGTTTTTAGAATCGTCATGTACGCTTTAAAGTGCTTTCTCTCTCTCCTTTCATACCAACGAGTGCGCTGTAAGCAATGCACGTGGAAGGGCGACAAGGGGGCAGAAAACTTTGCCCGTTCGTTAGCACACGTCGTGGGCTTGAGCCCTTTTTTTTTTACGTTCTCAGGAGCCTTTACTACCAATATGCAGAGTTTTGTGACAACACTGAACAAAGTGTTCCAGGGCCCTTCTAATTTTTATTGTCATTGCTGTGTGAAACTGCTGTGCAAAGCTTGGTTGTTGTTCTGCCCTTCAACTTGTCTCATGCCCTCCTCTCCCTTTGCAGAGTAGCATGCCAAAGGCAATTTATTTATTTATTTATTCTGTTTATTTATTTATTTATTTTCCAAATACTGTTAGCCTTTCGGCTGTTACAGGGGTGGGACATACTAAGAATGACAAACATCAATACATTCAAATCATACAGCAATTTAAACAGCAACACTTGAACTTGGAAATGTCATATGACATACATTAGAAACACCGGCATTGAGGCAGAAGGAAAAACAGTGCAGTCGTAGTAAGCATACAAATGAATTGCAATAAATTAACATAGTATACCATGCTTACAGAAAAATATCTTTGAGCCCTTCCTAAAATTTTTCCAGTGAATCACAATGAACCAGTGGTAATGGCAAAGCATTGATTACGCACTGATTAAAATCATGCACTGATTAAAATCATTTAAAATCTCTGCCCTGTGATAAATGAACTTCTATGCTAATGTACATGGTTTGCTGAGTACCTTGCAAAGGTACTAATGGCATCATTATGGTAGTAAAACCTTAGCATCCCCTTGACGCATTTGACTTATCATTGTTTCTCAGCACGTGTTAGCTATGAATGTTGCGCTAACTGTACTTTCTTAACCTTATTTTTTCCTTGTTCTCCATCAGTTTTTCCTGCGCTTGAAAGACGCTGAGGCGGTGCAGCTTTTAAAGCTGTTCCTCTTTGCCGATCTGCGGCAGCTGGATTCCCTCATTGAAGCACAAATGGTAAGCGTTAGTATTACATCTCGCTAGATGGGGTCGCTTCCGACATTTTATCTGCGAAGTGGGAGGCATTTGTTGTAATTAAGTGTTCACAGAGAGTTGTTTGTTAGACCACAGCTGTCAAGCTGTTGTGCCATTGTTAGTCCAGCTTTATGTTCACTGCCTTCTTTCTGATGTCACATCCTTTGAATTGAACTTTGGAATTGAATGTACATTGCAACAGGGTTTGCATGATGTGAGCGAGGACACATCATGCACTGAGCAGCTTTATAGCAAGCAAATAAAACGGACTTAAGTGTTTGTATGTTGTGCTCACAAGCAGCTGTGGTTCAAGCAAACTATATTATATTATAGAGAGAGACATTTTATATAGGCTTGACAAAGAAGGTCAATGAATGAATATGAATTTCTCAGACGAGTATTTATAATCATACAAATATGTGGTGACATCCTGTGAAGGCAGAACAGGTAAATGAAGGTTGTATTCTTTTTTGCATCTGATTTAGTAGTCTCGACAAAAAAAACAAAAAAACTGCAGCATTTGATCACCGTAGGTAGTTCTGCGAGTTTTAACGTCCCAGTGTTTGAGAGAACACATCAATTAGAACAATGGAATGTGTTATTGCTGATGTATTCAAGTAACACGAACCAACTGGCACACATGTCAACTCTTCCGCCTCAGAGGGCATCCATCAAACGCTCTTAAATTGACATCAAATAAAAGTTATAAATCAGTGTTACTCGAAGGGGCTGTAGAATTGTTCGAGCCCTTTCCGAGTAATTTTTGCATATATTGCGGGATGCGGGGCAACAGCCTCCAATGCGGGTCAGTCAGATTATTTGTTACAAACACTATGTTTATGAAAAAAAAAAGAGGGAGACGCAGGAAGAAACGTCCCAACTAGAACACCAAACATTCGAACTCAATAATACATGTTGCAGTTTCACTTGATGACGATTTGACGAGCGTTGGCACAGGGTAGCTATGCATAGAACATATCAATGAAGTTCTGCTGTTGTATGTGCCATCTGTATGTTCCATTGTTAGTGGCTAGTATGGGACTTATTTAGGAGCATACATTTGAGAAGACAACCAGCAGTGCTGCCGACACAACAAATACGGAAGCGGCAAATAAATACGAACGTCTACAAGAAGCGCTTTCCTGTTCATTGCTGTACCCATCGATAACCTACTATTGATGGCCTGTCTACTTTGTTACGATCTATACTCTATACTCTGCATATTTTTTAGTTTATGGTCCATCTCTTTGTTTCATTGTCTTGCCTTTGGTTGTGAAATTTAATGCAGAGAACACCCGAGAAAAGAGTGGCTCAGAAGCGGCTTGCCGAAGATCTCACGCTACTTGTTCACGGGGGTGAGTGCATTTACTACAAATTTTCATGTAATCCAGGTCACAAGTTTTTGATAACGTCGCGATGTCGTGCCACATTCTAACATAAGCAGTAAATGCAATATATTTGCGTGCTGTGTGTCAACCCCACAATTTATAAATCCCGGTTGGATCAAAATAGTTCATAATTCTCGCACTACGCACTTGAAATTAAATTACGGCATTTGCATGTAACAAAATACCCAAATACAACTTTCTTTCAGTTATTCAATTTCGTTGCGCCCATTATTGTTTGAATGCACGTCACAGTTCTACTAAAAAGCGGGCAGTGCTCTGTCACTCTCCTTGCGGTGTGTTTATGTAGAAAAAACAAAACTCATCGCTGGTAGGCAATGCCCGAAATTGGCATCTTGACAGGAGTAAAATGCAAAAGCACCCACGTGTTTACGTGCACCTCAAAAAACTTCTGGGGATCGAAATCATTCCAAAGTCTTGCCACTACAGTGCATCACATCATTGTACAGTGGTCGTGGCGTGCGAAACGCCAGAATTGTTTCAAGTGCGGAGCACTTCAGGGGCTAGGGCTGTAGTGCGCTGTCGTATGGTGTTGTTACTTGGCTCAACGCTAGCAACGCTGCAAAAAGGAAGCAAGCGACAAATTGAAAGAGAGAAAAAAAGGGGAAAAGAGGAAGAAAGAAATAGGAGTAAAGAGGAAAGACCGAAAAACACTGGAAAAGAAAATAATAAAACCGAAGAAAAACAAAAAGCTGTCCAGCTCTGCGCTTCCTTCGAGCTTGGCACTGCTAGTTCAAAACTGCCTTAATTTTTTATTATACCTTTTTTATATTTTTTATATACTGCCTTTCCGTAGGAGTAGGTATAGGAGACGAGGAAAATGTCTCCAAAGGGTTTTGCTGCGATGAACTCGCTTGTACTTTGTAGCTTGTGCAGTCATTGCTCATTACCGTCCAGGCTGGTTGGAGATTGTGACGAGGATATAACGCTAGTATTCCTTTCGTTTCTTTGTGCGGGTTATGCATTCGCAGTAAGTCAACTCACACTTTAACTCAAATTCGTTCGGAATCTTTCCTTGCGGAACAGGGCGACAGCTTTCCTTCCAGCGTGCAGTGAATCGCGCTGACTAAAGAAGGATCGGGGCATCTCATTGCGTAATTTACCACGATCATTTGTGGTTGCTTTTCAAGAACGTTCTGGTGAGAAGTCTCTGTTTGCATAATATTTTGTCATCTATGGAACCAGAAAATAAGGCAGCTTGATCCTAATGGAAGTTAAAATACATATCGGTATAAACAAAACTGTTTTATACGTCACTACTGATAAAACCAACAGGCAGCTTTGCCAGGAAAACCATAGGGGACATTACTGTGGTTTTTTTAATTGTAGTTCAATGATTTTTACTTTGAATTGAAGGAAATTGAAGTGCACCGAAATCAGCCTTTGTATTTGGATCTGAACTTGCGTATTTTGCCGTATTTTGAAAGTTGGCGCCGTGTTGATTTCGTCAGTCGTGTCAAACAGAGAAACGAGCCCTTCGAACAATTCCCCGTCTTTCGTACTGTGCATATCACTGTGCTCTTATGCACAGCAACTTTATTTATTAATATCAATGTTAATTCGGCAGCTCAAGAAATGCAAAACAATGGTGGCTTTGTTTTCGCACTTTAATAATTGTTTTATCGCCGGCTGTTCCTGCCAGGCAACAATAGTAAGAAATGCAGCACATTTTCGAAGATTGCTGTATCTCTTGCGAGACAACAGCCCTTAATGCGGGACAGTCCTGCGAGTCGCTGGACAGGTGGTCACTCTGTTGCTCAGTGAGCAGAAAAGAAACAGTGTTAGCATTGGAGCAGATGGGGGCTGTGTAACATCATTATGCAGATTGGTTTCAGAGAAATGCTAAAGATGTGACCCCGGTCTGTCTCTTTGCACAGAGAAGGGCTTAGAGCTGGCGAAACATGCCAGTGCGGTGCTCTTTGGCGGAGACGCTGCAGCCGAAACACTGCAGAACCTGAAGGAGGAGGAGCTGCACCTGATTTTCGGGGACGCCGGTTTCGCGACGCTTTCGTCCGAGGCAGGAACGACCATTCTGGACATGGCGATGAAGGCCCGCCTCTTCCCAACTATCAGTGAGTGCTGTGGTAGCTTCTTTCTCTTTACAGTGCCACGACAGTGGACCCTTTGAGTGCGAGACATGAGTTACCGGAAGTAAGCGCTTAATCTTGATTAAAATACAGCCAAACCTCAGTATGCCGAAATATTTTATATGCTTAGACTTCATTGCATGTAACTAACTCACATATGAAAGAAAGTAAGTACGTTACGTCTGAAAACTCGTTATAAGCATATTCTCACAACGCTGTATCTCTGAAAAGACGTATTTTTCATTTACTTCATTCTGACTGGTCATTGGTTATGTATGTGTTCACTGTACCGAGTTTTGAATATATGGCAAGTTATTTGGTATAATAATCAATATAATGGAGCATACATAAGGAGGAGAAGTTGTGTCACAACTGTGGTGGTGTGGCACGCACACATTTTTCAAAATACCAGATGAATTCGTGTGGCATACAACTTCTCTACAACGAGGTTTGACTGCAAATATACATACCTTGAGAATAAGGTTGATCTTGAACAAAAATTGCTGTGCGATTACAGACGTACTTACTTGACCGGATATGTTATACATGACGTCAGAGCAGCCAAGATGGCGTGCATCAACAGCTACTGTGTACATATTACTGCGTATCAATCTTTTTCTTCTTTTTCTTCTTTTTTGAAAAAAAAAAAAAACAATTTGTGAACATCAGGCTAGTTACATTTGGAAATGAAAATCGACGATTCAGATGCAGGCTGGGTGCTGCAGTTCGATTTCAGCATAATTGTAGACATTAAAGGGACCCTGAAACGTTTTTTTAGTTTTGTCAGCATTTATGCTAGAGCATCATCATTTGCACCACAAATTTAGGCTGCTACCGACAATTGTATCGTACCCTCCTTCACACCTCTGCCTAGTCTCCTCAACTCGTGAGACACGCTGGCATTGCTGGAGATCACAGAGCTCTCACGAACGCGTTCGACGATTTGAGCTTTTACCAGTCGAGAACTCCAAGATGGCACGCCGATAGGTTATACGCAGTTCGGGAGGCCATCGCATAGTCCGCCTGGCAGCACGCACATTGTATGGCGACAGAGACGAAGACCGCAGAGTGGTTCATATCTGCTCCGGCGGGTGCGGCCACCCTGTCGGCCAGTCTTACTTGTGCACATTCTGCAGCCCATGACAGCCAATCAGATCAGCCGCCTTGGTGACGTCAAATGGCCAGAGCATGTCGCTCTGTGAATGGGCGGTCGAAAACGTGTTTGGCCGAGTCCCAGCAGTCTCCAAATCTCCTCTAGTTAGTTTTCGAAAACTCTATGCCTTTAGGTTCTATGTAACTCAAGTCGACTGTAGTCACAACACCAAGACAACACCATTCTTTAGCATTCTGTGCAATTAAGGGAACTTAGGTGCCCCTGTAACGCTTTAAGCATTTTACGCAGTTGCTTTAGAGCATGCATGTGATGTACCCTTAAGCATAGAAGTCCTCTGTGCATTTGGCACACCATTCCTTCTTGTTTCATGCAGACGACGCCGTTCGTATCATCACAGCCGGAGGGCTGTACATCAACCAGTGTCGCGTGAGCACGCCGGATCACGTAATTGTTCCCGGTGTGCATGTGTTGCCCAGCAACTACACTCTAGCAAGAGTCGGTGAGTGTGCAGCTTGAATGTTTAAGACTGTAGTGTACACGTATCCCGAAGGAGTACGGACACTTGTGTGGGTCCAGTCTTAGCGAGCCGCAGGGCATGCGTTAACCATCACCGTGGCAAGAACACGGTACTGCTCAAGGTGGCAACACCAAAAACGCAGTACGGAGCCCATTGCAACAGGGGCGGCGGGAAAACAAACGGGCTTATCCACACCCCGGGCGAGAAGTACTACACAGGGGTGCCGCGAGCATGTCTCCGTGGTAAAAGTGATTCACAGCGACATCGGGACAAAGGCTTGGTTGCTCGAGCGAGCGCAAAGCTTCTGAGAAGTACGGTTCAGCATAGTATGGTCACGCACTGGGACTGCACCGCTCTTCGGCCTAGCGTTCGGAAGGGGGCCACATAAGGTAAGCGTTCGCCGTGGGCGCAAGGCGCTGTTGGCTAAGTCGGAACGAGCCCCAAACAAAGGGAGCCAACGGACAGAAAAGAAAAGCGTCCTTACCCCCATGTCGTCACCGCAGAGGTCTCTCTCACTCCCGACGCCCGCACGCAAAACATCCTGAGAGACTCCGCGCGTGGTGCCACAGTCGACATCTGCTAGCTGGTGAGAGGGTTTATACGACACTCCCCGCTCTCCCAGCACGGCAGACCGCGGAGGAGGGGAGTTTTGTCGAGACATGAGAACGCAAAAAGGGGCGGCAAAGCCCGCGCAAAGGCGGCGGGCTAGCCTCAATTCCCACAACAGAGAAACATGCCCAGAATCAAAAGAACTGAATGGATAGATTGATTTTGCTGAAGCTTTTTCGAGTGTACGAGAAATGCAGTTATTGTGTTTAAATTTCAATATACGCATTTATTAAATAATAGAACAGTTCTCTGTAAACCTTCACTAGAGTAGGATAAATATGGACACCCCTCGTAAGAATTTTTCACGACTATCACATACTTTGTATGCACTTCATAATTACTTGTCTGCATTCTAGACTTCATTCGAAACATTATGAACTAACAATAGTAAAAAATTATGGAAGTTTAGTGATTGCGCCCCGCTGCGTTGTTCTAGTGGCTAAGGTACTCGGCTGCTGATCCGCAGGTCGCGGGATCAAATCCCGGCTGCGGCGGCTGCATTTCCGATGGAGGCAGAAATGTTGTAGGCCCGTGTGCTCAGATTTGGGTGCACAATAAAGAACCCCAGGTTGTCGAAATTTCCGGAGCCCTCCACTACGGCGTCTCATAATCATATGGTGGTTTTGGGACGTTAAATCCCAGATATCAATCAATCAAGTATAGTAATTGAAAGAGGCGGGCAAAAGGCTTAAGGTTTTCACTTTGTCATGTTGCATGGCTAAAAGTGCGAAACTTGTGAAAAAACCAATTATTTATTTGAAATTAGCATACAAAGTTCTATAAAGAGCTCAAGTTTCATCGCTATAGGGTGAATATTTAAAAAAAAATTGCCTTCGAGTAGCATCTCTCCTCAAATGTCGCTGTTCTGTGTGCTGTTTTTTTTTTTTTTTTTGCAGGCAAGAAGAACTACTACCTCATCAAATGGCTCGTTTGACAGACGAGGCAGCAATCATAGGCAACATAAAATGCAGCGCCGTTTCTCAGAGGTGCCTGCCGACTGCACCGCGAGTTGCAAGAGGCTCGAGAGATGTGAGGACTTTTGGGGAAAGCAACCAAAGTGAGCAGGCCAGTGATGTCGTGTCACCACGTGTCATGCACAAACTTTGCGGAACGAGCTGATCAGTCACACTGTGCAGCTTTTCTCCTTCGTTAGGAGCGCATCATTATTTGGAAACTTCGAGCGAGTCTGAAAAGGTACCCCGTTTGGCTTAGTATTCGAATTGAATAGCCATTTTTGTAATTGGGAATACTGCTCGAACAGTTCACGAATATTTTGATAATGTTTGCGGTTTTACCTCATGAAACCACGATATGATTGAGAGATACCGTAATGAAGAACTCTGAAATTTTGACCACCTGGGGTACTTAATGTGCACGGATTGTATTAAATGGCTGTGTACATGGCTTGCAGCATTTCACCTTTGTTGAAATGTGGCCGCTACAGCCACGATTCAATTCTGTAGCCTTTGGGTCAGCTTGCGAATATTTAAAGTAAGAGCTGCAGCAAAGTTATACACAATAAATTAATGCGGAACTACAATAACTTTCATCATGTGGCCATTTAATGTGCAAAAACACTCGAGCTTACAAAGCACAGCAACGCTACTTTGCTTGGAGAGCGCAGCTTTCGCGGCTGTGCGGTGATTATTCACATTCATCGCCAAGTTCTGTGTGAGTGAGAAATCAGCTTATGTGTTCCTAGCATTCTTTTAGCACTATTATTGCTAAAATTATGAATACAAACTGGAATACAAATGTAATTTTATCATAGTTTCATTTTTCAATTGGGAGGAACAGCCCCTGTACATCCGAAAGCTATTTGTCATGTCTTCTATTAGGTTCTGGCACTGCTCAATTTTTGATACTAGTATTTGATTTTGTCTCGAAACATCATTTTTCACATGCAACTATTTTTTGCTTATTAGGTGAAGTTTAATTTGCCTTTTTTGAACGAGGTGGCCTGCCTCCTAATTGTGGTTTTGGCATGAGTTTATTAATTATTAGTTTTCTAATGGGATGTGTGTGGATTGTTCGCGGCCATCTTTTGAAGTGCTGTCATGCTGCGAGCTGCACAAAGTTATTCGGACGACGATAGCATTACTGTAGAATAAATCAGTAAATAATAAAAAAATATATCCTACTTATAGTGTCTGATTGGCATAGACAATATTTTATAGAAGCAGCTGGGATTTTTTTTCTGTTAGTATATACATGTTAATTACAGAACCACACACACACACAATAAAAAGCTAGTGCAGTTTAAACGTCTGTGAAACAAGCATGATGTTAGGTATCACTTTAAGCAACAATACTGATGTGCTATACTCGGGGACAACTTTCTGGGGCAACGAAGAGAAGGCTATGTGGGCGGAGCTACTGCTCCTGTACTCTTCTGCGAAGTAGTCGGGTTCGGCTCGCGTTCTGACTGACGGTTGCGTTCATCTAATTCCAGGCACACAATTTGATATGCGGGCTTACACATGCATTTTAGAGAGAAATTCGACACAAGCTCCTTCAGTGAGTCGTCGGAATAGCTGGAGAGCGCCGCGCGCTCACCTAAAGATGAAGATGCCATTTTGATTGTGCGGTGCAAGTCAAACGTGCGACGTTTTCGGACGCGCAAAAACGCGAAGTGACTCTTCAGAAAGCAACAAGAAATAATAGCATCTCCTCAACGCGCGCAGCGTCTCTTTATAAACAGAATCTAGTAGAAAATAATACTGTTCTTTTTTATTACTTTCACGCGGAAAAAACAGACACATTTGTGGCACTATATTCTACAGCAACGCCACATGCCCACTTTGGCTCCATAGCCTTCCCTTCATTGCCACGGAAAGTTGTTCCCGAGTATAGAAGGCTACTCTTGTTCAATGCTATCTTCTAAAAATTCAAGTTGAATAGAAATTCAACAAACTGTTGAAAACCACTATCCGTACTTTTCTTGGTGGTTGGGCCTCATGTATTGCACGAAATTTCCCTCAGGATTTTCGTCTCGCGTTCAGATCGAACATTCACCTTTGTACTTTGGCAGGCTTTTGTCTGATGCTACTTCGAATGAAATGAAGGCACGTGTGGCACTTGTCTAATAAGACATCCATCCACTAGGGCTGTGTTGTGACAAATGGTTATTCCGGATATTTGTGTTTGTGGCACACAGGCACTTCTTATTGCAATCAGGGATGATCCACATTCGGATTTTTTTTTACCACTGTCAACAGTCGTCGTCACTACATGGTGCAAACTGATCCTACGCGGTGCAAATTGATCCGAATCGGGTTTTGCAGGCAACAGCCAAATCATCGCATGCGGGCCGGATCGCAATACGCAGATCACGGTCAGTTCTGATCACCATTAAAAGTGACCGTGTAGCAGCACCTTATCTGGATCGAGCTGAAGCTGGATTGGCCCCGATTGCCATCAAAAGTGCCCACTTCACCTGAAAGCTGTACTAGTGTGGCTTCTTCGATACTAAGATTGCATTCTACCCGCTGTAGTGGCTCAGTGGCCCATGACATCATGTGATTGAGTGTTTGGTCGTAAGTTCGGCTAATTATCACTACCTTTCGTAATGTGGCACCACACTTTTGTGCCAAGGTGTGGGCACATTAGCAGGATCTCTCCAGTGCAGCTGCTGTTACAGCTCCTGTGCTGCAGTAGATTACTGTGTTTACTCGAGTAATGAACCCACCTTTTTTTTAATAAAAGTTAATGCCCGTTCGGGGAAGGTTCATTATGCGGGAGAAAAAAAGTCGCGAGAGCTATAGTAACAGAAAATATTTCACATCACGATATTAAGAAGCCAAGAATAGAGGCCTTCGATTCAAGCCTCTATTTGAGAACTTCGCCCTCCACAGGAGGAAACTGTCCTTGTTTTGGCCCGAGAATTGCGTGACGATCCTTTTTTGTAGCCCCAAGCGTCTCTTGTTTTCTTCAGTAACAAACACGCACGGATCGACGCTGGAGTTTCTTCCGCCTGCTCGGTTCCCATGCACCAGTGCATGCTTGTCCAACTTTAAAACCAGCCGTGCAGCTAGCGTATTGGCCGATCGTACCCTTTGCGGCAGGTGTCCCCAACAAAGTTCACCACGACAAACCCGACAACAAATATGCACGTCGGGTGGCAGCACCCGCACGCGCTTTGTTTCTGGCTTTGTTTTCGCACCGCTGTGCTTGCGTGGTGCTATAAACGAACCAGTTTCTCCTGCATACAACGGATGGTGCTTTGCCGCAAAACAACGGATGGTGGTTTGCGCTATTTTTAAATTTCGGTCGACGTCGTCCGCACTCAAACTGCTCGCAACTGTTTAGCATGGTTGATAAACGATTTTCGAGTTTTATTGCGTCGTTATTTAGTGATGTTATGGCATGTTTTGACGTTGTTTCAGTCGTCAACGGCTCTGGCTGTCACACGAAAATAAACAGATACATTAATATATAGATTTTTTTTCTCAAGGATCAAGGTGAGGGCTGGGTTCACTACACGAGTAAATAGCGTATCAACTTCAACTAATTTGAATCAAAGACAGGCAGCATTGTAACCCAATATTACATGCTATTAAAATAGTGCACACTGATTCATCACAACAACACTGCTTTATACAAAGGAGCAACTTGTTTGCCATGTGACTTGTACCTTGTACGTCTTTGGCGGGCACTGGTATCAGTGTACTTGAACAAAATGATTGACCCTACAGCCCAGCGTCCTTTCAGTATCTTTTTCTGAATTCTGTGGGCACGTCGGCTTGACAGGAGGGTAGAGAGGAATTCGTTACTCGTTTGCCGTGTCCGGGGTCACGGGGAAATGGAGGAGCAGTGACACGTACAGAGCTGTTCTAGGCTGCTTTAGCGCTGTGTGCGCGCAGCATCAGCAGGTAAACCTAGCTTTACGCAAAGGTGTTTCCATGCTCGAGGTACAAAAAATGGCTGGTCTCGAACTCCGGCCGCTGCACGCAACTCAGTGGCAGCGGCGACGCCACATCCTCCGCCGCCCCTTCCAGAAGCTTGACAAAGCACTCCGTGCTTCGGTAGCGACGTAGGTCCACACCCAGGCACGATTCAAGGTACCTATGCAAGAATTCACAGGTACGTGACTTTCTGCACACACAGTGTCTTTCACGACTTGCCACGTGATGGTAGCAACAACGCACGTACAGGGTAAGCTCCTTTCTATCGAAAGACCGGCTCGTGGGCATTTAGGAGTTCATGGCATGACTAATGTATAGTCAGGACTTTGAGAGCCATTGTTTCATGTGTCCACATTATTGTTTTACAGCACATCAGATAGACTTAGCAAGCGTCAAATAGAAAAGATATTGAGATTGCACGAGCTTGAATCACTGTGAGATGCTTGACGATGTGCAGTAGAATTGAAAATGTGCAATCCATGCAATGCTTAAGCCATGGTTTTGCATTAAATACTGCATTCTACGAGAGTCAGCTGCAATGTGCGGTTTCGTTAGCAGCTGCACCAGCTGGCCGCTACGAGCAGCAACAAATTAGATGGCGAGTGAGCTGGAAGAACTTTTACTGGCTCTAGCGTTGTCTACAACATTTCAGCTTGACGAGCACTTTTTCTTCAGCATGTTGGTAGTGCTGCATCTAATATATCCTGTTACTAAAATTTACTAAAATAGATTCTCCACAGTGGCACTGTATGGTTGACTGGTTTATGTGTTCTGACGGCCAATTATAGGGGCACATTATGCCCTTTATTGCGATTGCTACTGATGGCTTTCATTTCATTTCATTTATTGCATCCTTAAAGGCCCGAGGGCATTACATCAGGGGGGGCAACAAATACACTGCGAGGGTGTACAATTCAATGTGAACAAATTATTGTAAACAATACAGTTCTAAATACGCATATGGTAGTTTGGTCAAGAATGACAACAAAAACTAATGAAACAATAAACAAAAGAAGCGTCTCACTGGGAATTAGAGTACAAACAACATGGCAAAAAAATTATACATACAGTACGCTGGTAGAATATATCTACAGCCATGGGTTATTCGGTGGAATCAAAGTGGGATTCCAATATTGCGCGGAATGATGTGCGGTCAGGTATGGTAACTATGGTGTCGGAGCGGCGATTCCAAAGTGTAATTGCTTGGGGGAAAAAGGAGTCGTTCATTGCAGATGTTCGGGCGTTGATTGGTGCAGTAGGGATAGGATGGTTATTGTGAGAAGAAGTTCTGTTAGGGGGCAGTGAAAGTTCGTGTCTTAATTTCGGGTGGAAAAAGAAACTGTGCAGGAGGCATAGGCATGAGATCAGGCAGCGTAATTATTATTATTTATTATTATTATTATTATTTACAATACTGCCAGTCTCTTACGAGACCAAAGCAGAAGGGCATGAGTATCAGAATACAATGAATGCTAAGTACCTTCTTACAGGCGGCTTACAGAACTGTAGTTATTTTAAAATTGGTAATAATAATCCTAGTTACATAGAAACATTAGACATGGGTATTTATGCACTCCAAATATTCACACATCGGAAGCAGCGAACTGAATCTTTGCTGCATAAAAAGAATCAATACAGTTTTATACAGAGAAGGCATTGTGTATACTTATACATCCAAATAAATACTACTGGAAAACAATAATGGAGATCATGGTTGAAGAAAGCCGTTGTCTCAAAGTATAGTCTCAATTTTTGAAGTGAATTCTGCCAGTGATGGTGCGTTAGTAATGGAGGGATCTAACCTATTCCATTCGCTGATTGACAGGGGGAAAAAGGATTGCTTGAAACAGTCATTGTTGGAAGAGTATTCTTTGATAGTGTATGCATGTTTATGTCATAGTGTTCCTAATTCTGCCAAAGATATGTACCTGGATGCATCGATCCGGCTGTGGTTATGCAGAATGGGGTGTAGAAATTTGAGACGCGCGATTTTTGCTCTTGTTGCAAGCGTGGGTAGACCGGAGGTTTCTAAAAGGTTTGTGGGCGAGTCGGTGCGTTTGTACTTATTATGTATAAACCTAATGGCCTTCCTTTGAACCCGTTCAACTTTTGCTATATTAGTAACACCTTGCGGGAACCACACAGTGTTAGCGTACTCCAAGATTGGTCGCACGAATGTGGTGTAAGTTAGGAGCCTAGTATCTGTCGGCCCGAAGGGTAAACGCCTTCGTAGAAA